AAACGATGTGAGGATGTTTTGGGTGAAGATTACGCTATGACGTATGAATTAAACAACATCCAAATCTTCCACTATAACTATCGCGAACTTGAAACTGCAAATGCTACTGAAGGACTTTCAATCAAAGAAAGAATGTTGTTGACTAATGACGAACAATCAAGACTTGTGAATGAACGAAGTATGTCAAATATGCTCCAAAATACGATGTTATACCCTGTAAAGGAACCCAAGTTATGGATGTTGAATTTGAACAGGAACCCGCAAAAGGATTGTTGGATACCTTGCTTAATCTAAGATTGTTAGCCTCTTGAAGAATGAACGAGTTTAATAATACCGAAAGTTGGGATTACATAACCATGTGAATATGAAACGGTCATGATCAGTGAGATCATTACGAAACGTTGAACATTGAACCTTAGAAAAATTTCGAGGACGAAATTCCTTTTTAGGAGGGGAGAAATGTAACGCCCCAAAACATACCCTAGAATTATTAATGAATTATTAGTTAATTAATCAAATTTGTTTTGATTAAAAATAAATTGTTGTTGGGCCTTGGGCCAAAATAAAATATGTTTTGATATCCAATATCATGATCCGGATAAATCTCATAGAGATTAATCCAATATGTTGACTTACTGTGTGACCTTGATTGGGAACCTGAGTACAGACCCAAATCAAGGATAAATTAAGAAATTTATTTATGATATGAACATTGAAATGATTTATTGAAATAAATCATGAGAATAAATAATATGAATGAAATGTAAGAACCTTTTTGAATAAAGGTCAATTAAACCAATTTTGACTATGTCAAAGTCAACCACCCAAAAATATGATGTCGGAAAAAGTATAACGAATAAATATAAAAATTATATCGTTAGATAGAGTTTAACTGTCTGATCGCAACGGTGCAATCGGATTTCAATTCGAAGAAAGTTGGACCAAAAAGTGTTCCCTGACTAGGACCAATTTAGTCCCAATCAGGGACTTACGTATAAAATCTGTCGGAGCTGCAGCCCCCTCCACTGAGACGCCAAAACAGTGTTAGGGAGGTCATCTCCCATGGCTTAAACCCCTTCCTCCTTCTTATATAAACTCTCCAATTTCTCACCATTCTTCACCGTTC